GCCTGGAGCTACTGCATGACAGGAAGTCCAAGTGTTTTGCAGATGGAGACACAGGCTTATAGTTTGTAAAAACACTTAGTCTAAAAACATACAAATAGAAAATAAATTAACAAAGTACTAAAGCAATCGTTCCTTACAGACATGTCCAAGTCAAATCTTGTCACAAATCCAAGTTGAGTCTAGAAGGAAAAATAAGACGTTTTACTTAAATCAAAAGATAATTTTATCTTTAAAATCATGTAGTTCTGAAATAAATTTTTTTTTCATTATTCACTTGTTAAGGGCTGGATCATTTAGCTAAAAAAATTAATAAATAAAACTAACTTTTTGGCAAACTTCTTTCTGTAAACAGCACAGATTTCTCTCCCCACAGTAAATAAATGAGAACTTTATGGTAATCACGATTTGTTATGCAACATATTGAAAAAATATTTCTTCTTGGACACTAGTGATGTTCAAAAGTCTCTAATCCAGAGTAAAAACTAAACAAAACAAAACAAAAAACACAAATAAAATAAAAAACAAGAAACAAACAAACAAAACAAAACCCAAAACTAAAGCAAAACAATATTTAACTAAAAAAGTATGTCAAATCTCAAGGCAAGTGCATTTAAATTCAATCCATGTCTCAAATCCTAAAATCAATTAAATGTAAGTCAATACAAATAAATAGATTTTTGCGACTTACTGTAAAGTGAGACTCAAGTTTTCATCTTTCAGTTTTAAAACGTTGAAAATATTGTTAAAGGCTCTTATATTACTCTTATACAAATGAAAGGAAGACGCAGTAGCTGCCATTAATTTAAAGTGATGTTTTATAAGCAGCCGCCGGAAGGAGCAGTCACTATGGGTGCCATATGGTTTGGTTGTATAACAATGTTCTTTTTAGAAACAATTTGAGAGAAACACTAAAGTTATCACATACACCAACCTTCTTCAAGACTAATGAGAAATCCTCCTGTTGCCGTGACAATGCTGAAGAGGAAATCAAAATTAATTGCGGACGCTGGAAAGGCATATATCAAACAGCAGGCTAGCGTAATGGATAAAAGTAGACAGGTGCTGTCTAAACCTCAAACCCAGAAGATACCATCAAATTAAAGATATGGTATGATAACGGACATCCTTCACTTTTTAGTCATACCACAACTAAAATGGGGCGATCTTATTTATATATATATAACAGTTTCCTTTCCACGTGAACTCTTTGACTGCAGTCCTTCCACAACACGAAGGATCATCAGAGCATACACAACAGATTCACTCACACGGTTTAAAAATTGAATGCAGAAAATGGCAGAGATGGTAATGAAGACAGAGAATTTGTAATGTCGATGAGTAGAGGTCAAGCAATAGTGGTACTCAATGGCTGATGCTGATAACTAGAGAGCAGGACCTATAGGTATAGGCTGAAATAATGTGGGTCTCATTCAATAACTGTACAATTTCATACTTTTTGTGCAAAATAATTTTACATGTAAAAATTCCACCAATGACCTACTGTAAGGTCACTTCATTATTAAATAAATGAATGAATGCAAAATTATAATGTTTTTATCATTTTTGAAAATTATATTGCTATATGTTAGAATCATATTACATTATAAATATAATGCAAAAATCTAACATGTGATAAAAATAAACATATCAGAGTTGTAGTGCAGTGGACTGAGCAGCTGCTCAACAGATGTAATATAAGATGTAATATATATATATATATATATATATATATATATACATATCTATATATACAGTATATATGTGTATATATATATATATATGATTTATCGGGTAAACAGCATGAACCATTTACACACAAATTTTATCCAAAAATACATTCCTATATAATGATAGTGAACGGAACTCAGTATAATCAGCCAAACTTCTCAGAAGAAAAAAAAAAAGCAGTCCTCACACACACTTTTTTTCTTTTCCATCAGGCTAAAGACGTTTTTTCTGTGTCACACATTCACGCTCTAGGTTCCCATAATTCATTAATTTAAACTGGGCTTTAATATTTAAACAGGACCTAGAAAGGATTTCAGTGGATTCAAAGGATAACCAGCTCATATGTTAAAAAACCATCTGAGAGTCTTCAGGGGGTTTTCGCAGGAGGTCACCGAGAACTCCAGAACGGCATTAACCGTCTGGGTGCCCGTGCCAATCCTGAGTGAGAAGAGTAATGCTTAAAGATGAAAAACTCATCATCTTTAGATATTTCTCACTCTTTTACACCCTCCTTCATTCTCTGCAGATATTTTAAAAAGTAGCTTCTGGGCAGTCGAGAGGGAGATAACAGACAGAGACAAATTGCGTGTCTCATAAGACGTTTCATTAATCTCCAGACCTGAGAAGAGGAGGGGAAGGCGGAGCTAATCTAAACCATTACACGTTCCTCACAATCCAACTTAAATGCATAAAGAGACTCCCGGGAATATCAAACAAGGTGATCTTTCTTGTCCTCAGCCTACACTTCCATCTTCTTTTCGAATTTCATGGAAGTTTTCATGAAACATCATGCAAATGGGGCTAAAAGATCATTTCATTACAGCGCATCACATGCAGCGAGAGCGTCCCTCTTTTTACTCTCTGAACTTGTTGCCGATCTTCAAGGAGATACTTAATATGTAACAGCAAGAAAAGTGTGTTTATGTATTGCTGAGACAAAGAAGGATTTGTGTGCAGGTAATTAGAGCGTAATGGAAAACGGTGTGTGGGCCCTGCGTATGAATATTCATGGTACGCTGAGAACGTGTAGGAGGATCAACCTTGACCACCGTCTAATCACCACGCGCAGAGACTCTGCCGTGATTTAGCGATGGACTTGATCATCCACAGCATCTCTTAATACCTCCACTCGTGGGTGCACATAATCAATGTCCCTCATTAAGGTCACAGCCTTTGACCTCAAAAGATGAGCTGAGCCTCTTAAGGCAAGAAGAGCTGTGACAAAGAGACAAAATTTAAGGAGTTAGTCATCGGAAAATGTCACAGCATTTAGTTTAGTTGAGGCTTAAAGGTGCAATAGGTGATTGTTTTGTTATGCTGGTTGAAAGTCTCTTCACATCCCGATAGCAATCATCAAGTTAAGTGGTCTAAATGTATTTGTCTGTATTTATATATTCTGTGGAAGGTGTAGGATCAAGAAATGTTCGTCCAATCAAAACGCTCGGTCCGAGCAGGCAGGATACATCATCAGCGCGTTCACGCACGCTGTGCAGTCAGAGCAAGAATGGCAGACAAACATCAACAACCCGATCTTCCTCCCTGGTATTGTAGTACTTTTAAAGTTTTCTCACCGGTGACACATGATGTTGCCCAGCGGTTAATCTAGTCCTCACGCCAGCTCGTTAGAAGTGAGCTACGTGCATGAACGGTGTTCCGATCGATATGATCCCTACACAGTGTTCATTGCTCCCTACTCCCTGAGCGGGGGAAATCCGTTGAAGTTTACTTCACTTCGGAACATGGGCTGGAATTGGGAACCGCTAATGTAGCCTATTGTAGTAATGTTGTCTCTGGTTCTGCATTCCTCCCATCAATAAAACATTTATAATAACAATAATAATAATAATAATAACAACAGCAACAACTAGCATTATTATTATTAAATATATATGTGTGTGTGTCTGTGTGTGCATGTGTGTGTGTGTGTGCATTTGTATTTTTTCTTTTTGTGTGTTGCATGAAGCATTTGAATGACAGAAAGTATAGCTTTTAAAGGCTTATTTACTTATATATAGGTGTGTACACACACGCACACACTAGTAAATAAAACATACATACCTGTAACAAATACATGCACATACACACACAAGGGTAAAAAGTTCTAGCAAGCAAGTTTTTCTAGTTTCAAAGGGGGTGGGATGAGAGCTACTGGGTTCACTGTTTCTAAAAAAGTATGACATATGCATTCTGGGAGTATTTATGTAGTGGAATAATGTATATTTCTATAAATTCACAAAAGAGTTTCTGTCATCATTATACCACGGAAGCATGAGCGAGCAAGAAAAAAAACATACACGTGGGAGAGAGAAACCATGAGACAGATTGAGATGTAGGGAGTTATAGATAGATGGATAGAGAAAAAAAAAGTATGTGTGAGCCTCTATGGTAGAGCTCATTAAGCAGATCTGTGTCTCATTAACAGGGAGCTGTCTCGTTATGTGTGATGCAGGCGGGCGTATCTTTTTCCCTCTCTGCAAGTAGAGCCAGTTCATAGTGTCAGCTCCAGCCTACAGAATCGGCGCATCTCTGCAGGTAACACCACTATTAAGGGCCGAGAGGGCACACATAGCGATTTTCACATGTATTTGAGCTGACAGTTTTTTAGAGCCACTGTTTCGATACATATTAGATGTGCTTAATTATGTGGAGGTGGAAGCGAGAAAGCTCACAGCTCAGAAACAGTCAAGTCATGGAGGAAACACAATGACCGGCTGCACTCGGAGTCCATTTTAAGCATAGCTAGTGCTAAGATTTGCAGTTTGACAAAAGGACACATTCTGATGTTTTGAATGAAAAATGTGTTTAAATAACATTTCGCTGCACTAGCCCCAAAACAGGAAACACATCACTCTGCTATAATGACGGGCCCAAAATACAACAGCAACAGGCCTCATCTACAATGCAAACTTGATGGGGACTTCTACTGTTGTGGGCTTAATTTACACATCAACAACAGTCAACAAGACTGTAAAGTGTCCAGTTTCTCATTTTATAATATAGAAGGCAGTATTTTTTTAGTATTATATTTATATAGTCTTGTAGCATCTACTATTTTGAATTTAACTTATTTTTTATTATTATTTTGTTATTTTTATTAGTTTTGCAATATTTCAATCCAGCTTTAAGTTATTTTTATTTCAGTTTGAATAATGTTAGTATTATAACTTATGACATTTTATTTCAGTTGGTTGCCAAAGCAACATTTCTACATAAGTTATTTTTTTCATTTATTTTTTTATTAATCAATCTTTATATTGTATTTTATTTCAGCTTTACTTCAATTCAACACTTTTTTTTTACTTTAAACAAAAAACAATTCAAAGTTGCTAATACGACTAAAATTACTGGAGTAGGTTTTACAAGAGAACACTATTTCAGTCGTTCTACTTCAAATAGTCCCGTTTAATTCAATGTGTTACTTAATGTTTCTTTGTCATTATTTGTGAAATTTATTAGCAATTTCTGAGTGAAAATTGTTTCACCACAATTTGTGTGTGTGTGTGTGTGTACAGACGTCACAGAAAACACAACTAAACGTCAATTAAAGAATGGTTTTTGTGCACCTCAAGGGCATCATTTTGGACAAGACCATAGTTCAGCCAAAAATTCATGTGACTCATCCTGTAATTGAGGACAATGTCAAAGAATTATGGCATCTTATTCTTAAAGGGGTCATATGATGCGATTTAAATTTTTCCTTTCTCTTTGGAGTGTTACAAGCTCTTGGTGCATAAAGAAGATCTGTAAAGTTGCAAAGACTAAAGTCTCAAATCCAAAGAGATATTCTTTATAAAAGTTCAGAGTCAGCCAAACCCTCCTAAAACAGCTTGTTCTAACACGCCCCCACATGTCTACCTCACTATGTGGGAAGATTTGCATAACACCACCCAAATGTTCACGCAAAGAAAGAAGGCGTAACTTTTATTCTCGCTGTAGTATTGTTAACGCTGCAGCCATGTACACTGTGTGCTTCGTTGTGAAAGTGAAACTACTTTGTTTGGTCTTCCAAAAGAGGACGATATCCACTTCGTCATGTCTAGAGCTTATCTGTGCTGGTCGCTGAGGGAATACATCAACTTTCACCGTGGACAAAGCGTGGGGTCCGTCACATGTGGTTGCCGCTCATTCGTCGCATCCGCCGGGCTCGCCGTTCTCTCCTCCGCCGCCTCAGCTCACGCTATCCCGTCCTCAGCACACGCTAAGCCGGGGCTTCCCCTCACGCTAGGCCGCTGTGTTTTTCGTTGTGAAAGCGAAACTACTTTGTTTGGT